ATTTTATATCTAAAATTTTTGCATTATTTTATAATTAATTATTTATAATATTTTGATGGATTATAAATCGATTTTTGTTTGAATTTCGATTAAATAAAAATTTTAAGAATTTTAAATACACTTATAAGATTGATTTTCATTGCTATACTATACAGATTTCACACACTAAGAATTTTCTTCTTGATTTCAAATCTTGAAAAAATACTTATTTCACTTTAAGTACAAAAAGTGTACACTGGTCAGCTATAAAAAATAGATCTATGATCTGCTACAAAGCAATTAAATAGCAAAAAATAAGTAAATAAGCATGCATTTTAAGATAAAAAAAATCGCATTCACATCTTACTTTTATTAAAATATACGCATATATTTCTGAAATTCATTAATGAACATATTAATTTCATATGTAATGTGAACTATATGCTAAATGCGCGCATTTACTGATAAAAATGAGGTTTGAATACGGATTCTTGTATCTTTAAAATATCTTATCAGTCTTCAGCTGAATTATAATAGAGAATGAGATGAATGAAATAAATGATGCCTCAGAAAAGCTTTTAAGAAAGAGATCTAAGAAAATGTACATGTTCCTATGGAAATTGTTAACAATTAAGATAATTCATTAAATTGTTAAAAATAAATTAACTTATTTGAGTACACTAATTGAACTAAAATTATTTCGGTAATATAGTTAATTATCAGTCATAAAATACAATTCACAATATATTAAGATTAATCTAAATATTTGGATATTGATAATATTTGCAAAAATTATAATTTTATTCCATAGATAAAATTATTTCAAATTTATTTAAATTTCTTCCTAAGATCAATATAGAATCAATTTAAACTTCACTGAATTATCTTAAATTGTAAATATTTATGTATCAAGCACAAAAATTATACATTACAAATTTTAATCAAACCAGTCTGTTCAGTCTGCTTACTTTATAAAATTATCAGATATATTTTGTTTTTATTTAAAATTATTAAGATATATTTTGTTTCTATCAAGCTCAACAAGCTACGAACCAATGTTAAATCCACAAATACTTCACTGTCAATGCTAAGTCCACAGCATAAAAGCCTCTTCTGCAGACTGGTTTGGGCAGCTGTATGGTGGGAAAATAAAACCACAAGAAAACCATTCCAAGAAAGCTGCATTCCCCTGTAGCCATGATAGCGGATGCGACAGACGGCGTACCATGGCCCCATTACCTTTGGAAGGTACGATGCGGGTCCCATTGGAGTCTTTCAGAAGAGTCTGTTCCTCAGGCCCCGCACCAAATTCTTTCTTCGTGTAAGTGCCTGCCATTTTTCTTTTTTTGTTAATTTTTTTTGTTATGAAAGAAGATTTTTCAAACACTATTGACTTTGATGATGTACTTCAGTAATAACTGCAACAACTTTAATACATCTTTCGACAACTGGTCCAGAAAAAGTGTAATTCCATAAGCACTTTCTACACTTTGCTATCTGATTTGTCCTTGTCTGAAAAATAATATTTATTTTCAATTGTGATGTAACTGATGATATTGTATGAAATTTTTATAAAATCTTCGAAAATTTATCACTATTATGTGTAAAAATATTAGAATAAATTTGAAATAGTTTTATATAAAAAAATTTGTATGTAGACTAATCAACCTAATAATATGGTACTCATAGTTAATTCTTATATTTAAGACTGTCTAATTGTAAATATAAATTTAAGATGTCATAAATCAAACATAGATCAGTATATAATTGATTCTTATATTTTATACTCTTTTAAGTATAGTCTTAAAAGATTATAAATTAATCAGAAAACCACATTCTTAAAATATTACTTAAGATGATTTTAAAATAAGAATCGACTATACCAGCCATAAAGAATATATGAGATGTACGATATCTAATGTAAATTTTTTTATATTTAAATATTATTTAAAGGATATATATACAGCAAAACAAAAAAATCTATCCTTTTATGCATATAAAAGTATATACAGTAAATAAATCTAAATTTAAATTATGAGAAGTATCTTTACGATATTTTAAGCAAACTATAAATATTAATATTTTACATAAATAATTTTAATAAGTATAATTTAGTTTAATAAATAAATCTGGATACACTCGATTTAATAATTCTAAAAATCATAAAATAAAAATTAGATTACAATATCACAAAAATCATTTTTATATATTGCAAATTGATTACAAAATAAAATATCTTCTCTTCGGTACAGTGACCTAGATATTAACGTCACGGTAGAGGGATTGAATGTACCTCGTATTAATACTTCAATGTAAGTTAAGCAGGCAAAATATTATATGTATGCGTGATAAATATATATATTCTCCTCTACACTATTCCAGATTTAATGATAAATCGGACGTATTCTGTGTACATTTCGCCGAAAAGCAGGTTAAAGATAGTGCAGGAGAGTGCAGCCGATGAGAAAGATAAGAGACAGACCTTAACACCGGCGACCCTTTTTTTTTACCGTCTCGAGTTCGATTATCGGAGGTAACCAGAGAATGATTCGCTAAGCTAAACTTATTGCCGACGATTGACGTTAATAGACCGCCCGGAGGGTGGGTGCGTAACGAAAAAAAGAATCACGTGCCAACGTCCATCGGTCGACGGTTCGATTCGTGCGGTTCGTGTGTTTTGTTTGCTTGTCGCACACTTTCGCAAGGAGAGGGAAAGAGTGGAAAAAAAAAGGTGTATAGAGTCAGCGACGGAGTCGAGTTGAGAATGTTGAGATCGTTCGAGATACGGAGAACAACACTACGGGACGGCAACACGCGAGCGGTAGTACCATGTTTCTGTACTGCGCGGCACTTCGCTAGGTTAGATCGCGGGAGGGGGGGGAGGGGCGGGTTACGAGTTCATCGAGATATGCGGCGCGGCGTGCCGCCGAAGAGCACCGAAGAGGGCCGAGGAGCGCCGACCGCCCACGAGGTGCGACGTTCGAAAAGGAGGCGTAAAAATAGCGCGCGTCCACGACGAGTCCGTTCGTTTCGATCGTAATGCGACGAAAAGAGACGAAAACGGATACTCATACTCACGTTCCCGTGCAACACGCGACGGCTGCTGATCATCGCTGATCGACGATTGCTCGGGAATGGAAGTTGAAACTTGTAGTAGGAGCGACTGCCGATATTAATAATCATGCGCGATAAATCATGCTCGATGAAGCATGACGTTCTGCTTGTTCACGCCTGTATCGCAGTTTCAGCTACGTTTTTCTTATCTCTTGTGTTTTTTCTCCCTTCTTTAGAGTTCGATCTTTTTTATTCCGAATGCAGTAAAATGCTAAACGAAAAATAACACATCGAGTAACATTGAGAGATAATTATGAGACTCGTAATTATCGTTTTCGTCATAGTCTCATTTCTTAAACCTCTATTCAAATAGATTTGCAATGCAGCATCAGAGCTAGAAAAACTTGAAAGCGGCCATCCTATAGGCCTATTCTGTAACTTAACGCAAGTTTCGTTATTATAACGTTGCAGCTTTTTTATCATCATAATGATAAAAAAATTTAAGAGTTACAGAATAGGTCTACTAATCTGATAGCACAGATTTTGTACATACGCAGAGAAATCAACCAATCACGCATGCAATATAGAGAACACAGCACTATGATTCGTTCGCTTTAGACTGGCGATTGATCGATTTCTTTATATAAATGCGATTGTGTGAATAGATCTAATAATTACATAAAAGGTGACCTCGTGAATATTTAAACAACGTGGTAAAAGGATGAAGATATAACGACACTATAAAAAAAAGTTATGTAATTGCAACGTAAGCAGTAGCGCGTCTATTTCGATCTAATTAATTCTTATGCTATATAAATATTGAATCTGGGATGAAACTTGTTCAGCTTGCGTTAATTATTCAAGTTGTAGTAGTATAATTTTATAATGATAAAGATTCTGTTAACAGATAAGAAAATAACAATAATATACATAGTTAATTAACATTATAATGTATAATAATGTAATAATGTATTAATTAATGTATACAATTTAAAAAATAATTATTATTACTTAAAAACATTTGTATATTTATATGCTTCTATGTGAAATATAGACAATATATATTTTTATCACATAATACACATTTTTGCCTATTAGATATTTTCCTTAAATCTCAACAATTTTTTCGTCAACCCCAAGTTTCCGTTTGATAACGATTGTTCTTCTCCAAATGTTTAATAAACGTTTCTGCTTGTTCCTTTGTCATTTTTCCAATTTCTTTTGCTAAACTAACGAATTCGTCACGTACGTTATCCGGCATATTTTTAGAATTTCCTGCTAAATAAATACTACCATTATTTTCTAAAAACTTTCAGCACAGCTCTCTTTGTTGGTGGATAAGATGTTGGACATATCTGAAAAAATATTGAAAGCATAATTAAGAAAGTTAGGATTCGATTCATATATTTTGCAATCTTTTTATAATTAATTTCAAAATTCTATCTCTTATAATAATAATTATTTTATCTTTAAATTTATTTTGTATTTGTGAAATAATAAAAATAATTTGAAGAAATATTTATTTTAATGATTTACATTTTATGATGCTGATCTCTGGAAAATGCGCAGAATACTTTCAGATTATTTTTTTTTGATAAACGTTCAAAATCTTCTCTGCAATGATAATCCTTACTCTCATTTCTACATCCAAAAAACAGGATACATTCTTTTAAATCTTTTCCTTTTTTTATCTTCTCTAAAAGCAAAGATCTAAATGGAGCCACTCCAGTTCCAGGACCAATCAAAATCATCGGCTTATTATTATCAAACCGAAAAGTGCCTTTCTGCAGCCAAAATATCACTTTGTTATTATTATTTAAACTTGCCAACCACTTTGAACATAACCCAAATCTCGGTTCTACTAATGCAGTCTTAAATTTAACTACTGCTACTAGAACTTGTATTCTATTTGGAATATCTTCTAAACTGGAGGCAATGCTATAAGGACGTGGCTTTATGGGTGACATGATTTCAAACAATAATGTAATGTTTAATTTACTGGTTGTGTAAGGGAAATCTGTGAGGACCTCCAAAACATTTCTTCTTGGCCTGTTTATATAATCATAAAGCTCTTCTTGGCCAATTGGACTGGCAAATTCACATAGTTTTTCTTTCTCTAATTCATTTTCGCTGATAAGAGATAAAGTATGCATGGTAGATCTTCGTGGCTTGAAATTCAGATCCCAATATTGTTCAACAATCTCTCCTAAAGTTAAATTTCGTTTTAAAATAAATGGAACCTTTATCTCCTTTTCCGATACTTGAATTATTGTATCTGGAAACAGTTTTATATCGTGTTCATGTAGTATATCAAAAAACCGTTTTACTTGTTCTGCCGTATTCTTCGGTCTAATGTAGATAACATCTCCAGGATCGTAATTAATATTATTCGCTTCGATTGTTATTAATCTAACATCTTGAAAGTGATCTTGGGAAGTAGTTCTTATATTTTCAACTATTGTTCCTATTCTGACGTCACTATTGATGAATGTTTCTTGTGCGTAGATATCAGTATTTAAATGATATGGAATATCTAATAACTGTTCGTCAATACGTATCGGATTTGATTGATTCATTTCTATTATTGAAATATTATATCTCTCAATTATCAAATCTTCTTTGTTTATTTTGTCCTCTATAGAAATTTTAAAAACATTTGCAATTTCTTTCCACAATTTTTTGATCCAAGGAACGACCACAGCATCAATTCCCAGATTATGCTGATCATCGGCAAGTCCAATAGGTAATAATTCTTCGCCACCTAATTGCACAAGACGTTTATTTAATTTCTTCGCAGCAAAATTGAATTTTGAATAAGAACTATCGCCCAATCCAAGTACACCATATTTCAGATTTTGGAACACAGTTGCTGGGAGAGTCTTGCGTAACAGATGTCTCCAGAATTGTTTCATATTGGCTGGAGGGTCTCCTTGTCCAGTCGTTGCGACAACGAAAATAATCAGTTGTTCGGAAGGGAGATTTTGAATGTCATAGTCATTCAAAGATGATACTGTGCTTCGCAATTCTTTCCTGTAACATTAAAAACATATATTATATACTTTCAGTTTTCAAATTAGAATGTTATATATGTTTTAAACTTTAAAATATTTTTTCTATTTTTTACATAAGAAATAAAATAAATTCATAAGAAAAATTTATTCATATAAAGTGCAAATAATCAAAATAAAATATCACTTAATTATACAATTAAATGATTTAAAATAAATTTCATGTATGTATAAAGAGTAAAATATTTTTTTTTTCTCTGTATTCATTTCTGTTTTCCTTATTTCTTTGTGTGTGAATGTGTGTGTATGTAAAATTGGTAAAATTGTAAATTATTCTGAATAACATAAATGTGTCAAAAAGAAAAATGATTATTGGTGAATCTTCGCTGCTGATTTCGTTTTTCAAAATAATATTAGATAGAATATATATATATATAAAATGAAGCTAAATATATAAGAAAAATAATCGACATTAAGGATAAAAGTAAATCACATCTATTAAAACATCATTTAAAGACATGAGGTTCGTGTGCCAGAAATTTTCTCAGAGGTTTATGTGCCAGAGGAACAACAACAAACCTTTTGGCGCTTTTCCAGATTTGTTCGGCAACGTCTTGAGCGGTTCCGGTTTCGCTTCCGTATAACACTCGTATCATCATTTCATCCATTTTCGTTATCGTGATTCTTTCACGTAATTGAATAAATTTTTCGGTGATGAGAGGCAGTCAATATTACTGAAATATCTTAACAGTTTTATTGATTCGGACGATGATGTTATCACGAGCAGATGACACAAAATGTGTTCTTTTTAGCTATGCTGAATTATACTTTGCATGTTTAAAATAAAACATGATTCTGGCATCGAAAATAAAATGTAATGTTGCTTCTTCAATTTATGTGTTCAGTTGAAAATGAATTCTTTAAAAGATTTAATCAACTCAAATCCTTCAACTCAAATCAAATTCTTCAATTGTGTCAATCAAAAACTGTATAAAATAGAACAGATGCTTATATTCATCACACACATTAGTTGTATTTCCTATCATTAATTTTTTATTGTTATTTTAACAGATCTAAAATATAGAAAATCAGAACAGTTATAAGTAGATTCGCTGTAGAGACTTATGGATATAACAAATTTATTTTTTGGAACAAAGCAGGAAAACCTGTGTGGCATTTGCAACAGTTAACCGGCAGGTTTGAAACAATCTTGCGATGTCGTTGATGAAATGTCAAAGGGAAACATTTAGACTAAGTGGTCCCAATTGGCAACGGGTCCGAGATATTTAGAAATAAAAAATAGCCTCGCAAATGGTCGATCACGCCGATGCGATCTTCCTCATTATTCGAGGAAAAACTCAGATTGTTTCAGTGCAAAATTTATTGTAAAAAGTCGTCGAAAGTCATACAAATTCAAAGGTGAACGAGCAAATTCGTAGGCATTGTTCATGTGGATCAGAGTTGAATTGTCAAGGAGACGTGCAAAAACTCGAATCAGGTGCTGCTTGTCCTTTTATTAGAAGTTTCGTGATGCACTGTTCAGGATGTCAAAAGCGAAAAGATGTCTCTTGAACATTTTTCAATTCTGCGGAAAAGATACGACTATACTCATGGTCGCAGTACAATTTGAGGTTAGGTCAGCCTTGTATGATGTAACGGGATCAATAAACTCAGCTGTGAATACGACGTCATTCATGTGATCGAGGATAAAGTAAAATCGATAGATCTTATTTTTCCAACGAGATTATCGTTGTTTATCGATAAACTTTGATCGCGTCTCGCGATGAACACGCTGAGTTTTAATGTAAGTTAGGTTTTCCGCTAATCATATGTACCAATAAGAAACTGTTCGATCGTACTCAGCATTTGATTTGTCCTGACCAGATTATCAAATTTATTCTTCGCAAAGAGAGAAAAAAGCGTAAACACAGCGAGATGATCGGCGAAAACTGAAGTTAGGTTATCCTTACGCATGTTCCTAATGAGGAGATTGGGATCGGATGGTTCAGTTGAAGTCGTTGAAATTACATTCTTAACGAAAGACTGGCGATCTACTGGCGACTTCATTGTCGCAGGATCAAGGTGGAAACGTAAAATTGGAGGTTAGCAAGAATTTTGAGGTTAGCCGCGATCGCGTGTACTCCAATTGCCGTACGCAGCACGCGCACGCGCGCATGCTTCGTGACGTAACGGTACGCTACGGCGTGAAGGGGACGGGGAACGCGAGTGGTTGGCAGTACTGGTACCGTCTGTTTGCGGATGACTGTCAAAACCTACTTCCGCGGTCAGCGAGCGAGATCGTCGTCGTCGTCGTCGTCACCGCCGCTGTTGTATTTGCGGAGCAGTTCGCCAGCATCGGGTGACAGGCGGAGCAGCACGCTGTGGAGCGCGCGCGAACGCTCGCAGACGATGTCGTGACGCGGTGATCAGCGGTGACAGCGACTCGCGCTTCTCCTGTCTTCTACCGTTTCTTCATCAAGACGAGAGAGAGAGAGAGAGAGAGAGAGAGAGAAAAGAGAGGGAAATAGAGAGAAAAAGAGGGAGGGAGACGTCGCTACCGTTGTCTTTCTCTTTGCTCGTGTCCCGCGTTCCTCGTCCTCGTCGTCGTCGTCGTCGTCGCCGTCGTCGCCGTCATCGCCGTCGTCGGATAATCCCGAAGGAAGGAAGGGCGCTCGCGAAATTGATCGTGCGCGTGTACAAGCACGTACGTGTGCGTGCGAGTGACCGAGCTTAACCTACCTGTCCGTTCCCGCGAACGCGAGCTGATGCGAGCTGTACGCTATGAAAACTGCGCGCTCGCTGGTGCATGAATAGTACATGAGTCGACTGGACGGTGCCGATCTGAGGAATCTCTTATGGAGGATAGTCGAGTGTGACGGTAGCTGGCAACGTGTGGGATTCCACAAGGTGGCACGGGATATAACGCCAAGGTTACCAGTTTAACTGCTTAGAGATAGTCGCGCGCCTTTTGACCGTCCAAAAAAGTAGCACAAGCTGCTCAATCTCCTAAATTTTTGTTGTTTCTCGTCGAAGAATTTATTGACGGGAGAACTCACTTCTCGTTCCGCCAGGTTAGATTTCTTTGAGGGACGCGAAGAAGGTATTATGGAAGATCGGTCACGCGATACCGCGTGTTCAGGATTCACCAACTTCGCGAAGTTCGGCTAGAAAGAGCGAGCGACGCAAGCATTCCAATTTTGAATATTCAAAGTGCGTATATGTACTTACCTGCTTTCAAAGTCATCAGAAACAATCGTACAATTGTTCAATGATTATGTTTGACATAAGAAGGTCACGTGCAAAAATGTAACTAACTAAAAAGATCAAACTTATCTCTTTTGCATTTGAATATTCAACTTTAAATATTCCGAATGTCTGTCCTTTCACTTTGTACTTTGTATATGTATATATATATATATATATA